TTTATCATTAAACTGTATCCTCCTGCCAGAAGACTGACTGTGTGTGTGTGTGTGTGTGTGTGTGTGTGTGTGTCACCTGAGGTGGACAGCATGGCGATGGAGCTCCTCAGGTAGATGTTAGCAGGAACGTAGTGGCAGTTGATCTCGTTGCAGATGAACGTTCCTCTCCTCGCTTGTTTCCTCGCCACGATCACCACGTGACTGTACAGTGAAACCATGGCGACCAGAGGCACAAACATGCCCACCAACCACAGCATCACGAACGCTGTGTGGGCGGGGCTAAAGTCTGGCCCACACAGGTATCTGTCCTCTCTGTAGGTGTAGTGTCCGAACCCCATTAGGGGCAGCGCGGCCCCCCCCAGGCAGCCACTCCACATCATCAGAAGCACCAAGCGGCATCGACCCGGAGTCACTATCATGCTGTAACTCAACGCAAAGCAGATATCCACAAACGTATCCACGGAGGTCCAGAACAACGAGTACAGAGAGGAGGTTTGGAGCAGGAGAAGCAGGAAACCCCCTCCCTGACAGAGGACTCCATCACTGGGGGGGGGGCCGGGGGGGTTTGGCACAGCGTGGTAAACAGCCAATGGGAAGGCAGAGAGACTGAGAGTGATGTCACTGAAACAGCAGCTGAGCGTCAGGATCAAGGTGTCGCTGCGCAGATTCTTGTGCAGCAGCAGCAACAGAAGCAGCAGCAGGTTCCCGCTGACCGAGGCCACGCAGGAGAACACCATCAGAGCCGCGTACAGTTGGGGCAGGGCGCACATCTTCAATCAGGAGGCGGTCGCTGGTTCGATCCCGGACCCTATAGTCAACATGACGATGTTTCCTAAACCCAGAATCGTTCCTGATCTCCAACGGTGTGAAAAATGTCTTTCCTCAGTATCGCACTGCTCTGTATGAATGGGTGAATGACTCGTACTATATAAAGCGCTTTGAGGGGCTCCTGATAAAGAGCACATTTACCATTTACAGGAAGCACCAACTGCCTCACAGGCCGATAGCAGAGTCCACTTGATGTGTTTAAATGTCCCCAGATATTCACTTTAACAGTAAATGAACAGGGTCTTAGTACAGCACCCTGAGGAGCGCCCACACTCTGTTCCTGAATCCTCGCTCAGGGGGTTGCTGGTCGATCCCAGCCCGTGCTGTCGGTTTCGATGTTTCCTTGGGCAAGATAGTGAACCCTGAGTTGCTCACAAAGACTGTTAGCTTTGCTCAGTAGCGCTCTGCTCTGTATGAACGGATGTGAACGAGTGAATGACGTTTGTGAAGCACAGTCCATTTACAGGAAGCACCAGCAGCCTCACAATCTGATAACCCGTTAAAGATTTGCATTCCCAGTGTCTGAGTCCACTTGATGTGTTTAAATGTCCACAGATATCCACTTTAGCAGTAAATGAACAGGGTCCTCTTACAGCACCCTGAGGAACGCCCACACTCTGTTCCTGAATCCTCGCTCAGGAGCGTCACCGTTAGCATTAGCTCTCGCTGCCTCCATCGTCATAAAGTCCAGGACCTTAACGAGACAGAGAAATAAAAACAGTCAGAGCTGTGTTTTAAGTCCACAGATATTCACTTATACACACACAGACAGAGAAGCATCTCCAGATCAGAAACACCTGCAGAGACTTTACTTGTGTCGTAGCAACTTAAAATCTGCTGCTGTCTAGAGTAAATGATGAGTTAGGCAAATATGCAAAGAAACACAATATCCATATAAATTATTATTACAGAGAGTGAATACACACACTATACAGAGATGCTGTTTCAGAAACTAATGTGAGTTTGGAGCATTGAACAATGTACATCTATTCTAGCAGACCTCAACAATGGCACTATGATCAGTAGAAATGGTCATGACCTTTAAAGCTTGCAAGCATAACGTCTGCGCTAAAGGGAGCGTCCTGTTCTGTGTGAAACAGACTCTCTTTATAGGAAGACATCAAAGATCATTCACATGACAACACAGCATCATGTGAGGCCAGCTGGTCGACCCATGGCACAGCACGGTATGCAGAAACTCAGACCCTACCAAGAACAATGGGATATACAGATAACCCCTATCGCTAATTCCTTCTACTCATCCTCTCCTCCTGCAGTGTCATAAAACCCCCGTGTCCAAATCCATCTGCTTCACTCATCCATGTGAAGCATCAGCAGTTACTTTAGGGTTACTCTGTATTCAGCTTTCACTCTATCAGTACCAATCACTGACAATCTGTCTTCAAGATGTCAGGAAAACACATGAAAACCTTTCCATCAAATTGGTGAATAGTTTCTGGAAATAAAACATTTAGATTTGAGCTGCATGACCTCTCTCTCTGTAGCTACCTGAAGCTCATCTGGAGGTGACCTCTCTCTGTAGCTACCTGAAGCTCATCTGGAGGTGACCTCTCTCTGTAGCTACCTGAAGCTCATCTGGAGGTGACCTCTCTCTCTCTGTAGCTACCTGAAGCTCATCTGGAGGTGATCTCTCTCTGTAGCTACCTGAAGCTCATCTGGAGGTGATCTCTCTCTCTGTAGCTACCTGAAGCTCATCTGGAGGTGATCTCTCTCTCTGTAGCTACCTGAAGCTCATCTGGAGGTGATCTCTCTCTCTGTAGCTACCTGAAGCTCATCTGGAGGTGATCTCTCTCTCTGTAGCTACCTGAAGCTCATCTGGAGGTGATCTCTCTCTCTGTAGCTTCTCTCTCTCTGTAGCTACCTGAAGCTCATCTGGAGGTGATCTCTCTCTCTGTAGCTACCTGAAGCTCATCTGGAGGTGACCTCTCTCTCTGTAGCTACCTGAAGCTCACCTGG